TTAAATTAATTATTTGTAATAAATAAGTGTTGTTTTTTTAAATATTCTTAGTAATTAAATGTATTGTCTAAAACTACCATTATTACAATGACTATTTTCAGAAAAAAAAGATAAATATGGGAGATAAAGTGAATTAGGATCTTATATTTAGGATCAAAATAAAAATCAAATAAATTTTTATATTAAGGACTGGAAATAATATATTTTTTGTGATGAACAAGAGAGAGAAAAAAAAAAAAAACTAACCTCCAACAGTGTGCTGAGCACGGAATGCGGCCCCCAGGGAAGATTTTTTTTTGTTGGGGAGGGGGGATTCCGAGTTTCCAGCTTCAACCGTGGACATGTGGGAGCTGGTCGTTGGATTCAAAAGATCCACCACGGCAATGCGCATCGTTTTCTGGCTAGGAACCCACTGGCCATTATTACTATCTGTTGGAGCGTTTGCGTTTTTTAAGAGTAGTTTTTAAAAGCTTAAGCGCTGAGCCAAAATTAGCTTCCCTAAAATCAAATATTATTGGATCCTCGTATTGATGAGAAATACATTCGTGTGAATATGAATTAATAAAATATAAATTATCTTTAATTTCATCCTTTTGCCCTTAAAAAGTTTGGGACTCAATTAATTCTGATTTAAAATTAAATTATATAATGTTATCAGTATAAAAGTAAATAAGATCAATGAAAGCTATTTTTTTTTTGTCTGTCACAATTCTACACTCACCATCTCTCCTTTGTAAGAACACAATATGAGGAAATGGATAATAGTTACAATATAAATGTGATAATTAGTAAATATGAGATTTAACAATTACAGCATGAACTTGGTAAAAAAAAAAAAAAACAATTACAGCATGAAGAGATGGAGAAGAAACCAAAAAAGCCGCAAACTGAACTTACTCATTGGTCTCATACATTCAAACCGTCGTGCGTGGTATTAACTTAGAGATAAAAAGAAAAACAAAACATGCTCATCCAGGAGGAAAAAATGGGCATTAGGAATTGTGGTAATAATAATAGTGTATGAATTTCCAATGGGTCTTTGGTGCCATTCAGATTCATTAATATCACTTGGGCACAGAGGGAGATACCTGTCAATGGTGCAAATAACAGACAACTACAGTGATAACTAATTGCAGAGCCATTAACGCAAAGAGAAAAAGCAAAAAACAGATCATACTCATCCAACTATGTAGAAACCATCCATTTATTCTTAAAAGTTATCACATTTCCAAAAAGCTTCATATATCTATACATACACAATTCTGGACCCATATCCAAAAATACAAATCATACTCATCCAACTACGTAGAAACCATCCATTCATATCACATTTCTCGGAAGTACTTTGATCCTAGATAGGCCTCCCTTCTCCTGACAACAAAGCTCTCTTCTCAGGCATGACCTCATAGTATATGGATGCGTGAAGCAACCTAGCCTGTGCCTATATATATAACGATGACGGTGATATGAGCCAGGGCAAAGTTAAGGAGATGGATGGGGGATTGAATAAGAGTGCCAGCAGCTGTAAGGGGAAGGCAGCACGTGCAAGCGTCTCATCACGTCAACTTAATGGCAACACAAAAACAGATGATCGGTGTTTAAATGTCGTGCACACTATGCCAAGGGCTTCTCCCTATACATAACTGGGAGCTGGGGGAGGTTGGATTGCCTTTTATTTCAGTAATCTTAAGTAGGATCACCTAATTATGTCCTCCCTATTCAATATTCTCCAAAAGAGTACAGTATTGAGTTACATGTATTCTTGTTTCTGGAGACTGGCGGCATAAATTGTCATCAAGAATGAGGGCCATCGGAGAAACTCTCATGTCGGTTGTCCACATGATGATTATATACAAAGTTTAGGCGTCGCCTTAAAGGCTTATTAATTAAACTGGTCAGGGGAGGAGTGTGCATGGTAATGCATGCATAGACACACATATACAGGACCAATCTCATCCTTCTACTGTACGTCCAATATCAATCCATCCGTCAAGTTTTGTTACGACTCCCATATCCGACCCTGTGTTCGTCGGTGAGTTGGGTGAAGCGAGAACATGACAACACGGAGCGTTTTGCATTTGGAGTTGGAGGCAATGTATAATGTATTCAAGCAAGGCCCACGTCGCCCACAGACTTGCTGCCGGCAGGTACGCATGTGTTGGTTCGGTTGCCTTGCGCCCAGGTAAGGGAGGATCGCCAAAAAATGAAAGCAAATCAATTTATGCTGGCTATATTACGTTTGGGTTTAATTAGTCTCTTTTCAACGTTTTTAATCAAATCAAAATAAATAAGGAAATTATGACTCTTGTAACTCGAGATCACATTTATTTGGTATAATTATCTATAAAAAAAAATTTAGAAAAAAGATAAGGTACGAATCGGGAACATAAACTAGGGAAACTGTAAATGGTTGTGAATTAGGAAGAAGGTACTAGGATTTTGATCTGAGAGTGAGGGGAAGATGAAAAGAGAATATGGAGCATGGGGGGACAACGTACGGGTCGGGGGGGAAGGTGCTTCCTTTGTTCGGGTACGATGACATGGCGCCGAAGAAGCCCAACGAACAATGCAAGCACTAGCATTGGGCCTTTCCATTATTGGGGGTAGGCCCATCACGGACAGCCTTCCTCCAAACCAACATGCGCATTCGAGTCTCCTGCTGCAGATTAGGACTTCAATGAGACGTCACGCTTCATGTCTCATAGCCACATATCAGTTCTCTTTTATTCTTTTCTGCTTGGATGGGAAGAAAAATTGGGAGGTAAAAAAAATAAGAGGAGAAAAAATGGAGAGAAGAAAAAACTAGAGGAAAATGTTATCATCTCTCTTGTTTTGATAGATGAGAAAAAATAGAGAGGAAAAAAAATTAATAAATATCCAAATAACTAAAATGTCCTTATCAAAATATATCATATTTAAAATTAAATTAAATTAAATATTGCAATAGAAAAATTATACTAACATTGGCATAATCAAATAATTAAAATCAGGTTATTTGGTTGATATATATTTTCAGATTATTATATTTTTAGCCAAATTATTTAATAAAAAATATTGTTTTAAGTTAAAAAATAAAAAATGAATAAATTTTTAAATATAATAAAAGAAAATAAATGTGGAGAGCAAGAGATAGTAGGGGTAGTCATGGAAATTAAATCATGTTTTTCTTCCTAAATCTCTCCATATATGGAGCAAAAATTTAGAGAGAAAATGAGACATTGAACTCATCTTATTTTCTCCCCCACTTTTCCTTCCTCCCACATTTTCTTTCCTACCCAAACAAGAGAAAAGTTGTTTCCCTTCATGTTTTCTTCTCTTGTTTTCTCTCTTCCCTAATTTTCTCTCAATTCAAGCAAGAGGTTATTCTACTATCTCTGATTTTAATTATAACACTTTGTTTGTATTATAAGACCTTCGTAGTTTACAACTTTTTTTGTCAAAACAAAAAGTTCTCTTTTATTCTATTACGTATTACCAGCTTCAACCTGAGGTATTCACGAAAGTAATACAAGCTCTCCCCACCCGCGTGCGCGCACAAAACATATATAAATAAAATCGTAAGTACTGTTATTTTATTAATTTTCAAGAAAGCAAAACCAATCATTTATCTTACTTTATTTATCACTAGAACTCTAAGCGCCCTGTATCCTCACTTAAAGGATGTTTGGATAGAAACAAAACCATGATGTTTAAAAGTGTTTTTACATTATATGAAATAAATATGTGAAAAAGTTTACCTCGATTTGTAAAAAAATATTTTTAAAAGCACTTCTTGGATAATCCAAACACCTCTTAATTTTCAAGTGAAAAAAATTATAAAAATAGGAAACTCTAATAAATATAATTCTACTTCAAATTATTTATCTAAGAGATAACATAAATCATAAATGAAATTTAAAAAAAGATAATCATACAATTCATTCTAGAATTTCCTAATCTATGATAAATTCAAGAAATCTGCTAACAATATCACATTTCATCATTGACCCTCAATTATTATCTGGTCATATTGTATCTGAAAACGCTTTGTGTGCTCATTTTATGCATTCAGAGAATAAATTTTGGCGACTATGTCCTCTTAGCCGTTAAAAATTGAAAAGAAAAGGATAAAATTAATCTTTCAATTCTTATATAATTTCTATTCGTTTCCGGAGAATTCCTATACCTTAAAAGCTTCTACAAAAAGGTCCTCATATAATTGTATTTTGGCTAAAGTATATATTTGGTTCTTTAACTTTATACAAGTTTCAATTTGGTCCCTTAATTTTAAAAAAGTATACTTTTAGTTCTTTAATCCTAAATTTTTTTAAAAAATGATGACATTAAGATATTAAATGTTGATAAAACATTTTCAAATGTTAACATATTAAATTTAATTTTCAAAAAATCAATGATTGTTACAAAAAATTATTATTAAAATCTAATGATTTTAGGGTTAAAGGTTCAAAATCATGATTTTTTTTTTTTTTAAGTACAATCATCTATGTTCCGCTTCTGCGCAAAACATTGCATTGCTAAATTTTATGCGAGACACTTGATCCAAGAGAAATTTAAAAGAGAGATGGTCAAATCCATAAATTAAAGAGATGGATATGAATATCAAATCAGAAACGAATCATTACCGTTAATTTCTCAGTAGTCAAATCAATCCTCTAGCAAGAAAAAAAAGCACATTGTCCTTTATCTCCAATAGGAGGATAAAAAAATATGATTAGATTCTCTCTCGCACCAATTACTGCAACCGTATTTTTTACCATGAAATCAGTGCAATGTTGAATGAATTGAAATTTCGTTCATGAACTTGGGCAGATTATTTTAGGTATGCATATGGGATCTTAAACGAAAAATAGTAAGAAAATAACCGGCAGAATGAACCAAAAATTTCAGCAATAAATTAACAAAGTGAACCTACCAGTATCTTTTTTTCTTTTAACCTGAAATATAAAATACGAGTATAAACTTGCATTATATTGTTTTCTTTTTCAGTCTGCTGTCCGTCAATGGATTCACCAACCCCCTCAGTGCGGACTCCCCGTCGTCCCAGCGGTTCCTGGTCTCATGGTTCTCACCAAATACCCAGTCGGCCTCAGGACAAGCTCCGCCTTATGTGCAGTTACGGTGGACGAATCGTCCCCCGCCCACATGACAGGTCCCTCTGCTACGTCGGCGGTGACACCCGTATCGCAGTGGTCCATCGCCATTCTTCCCTCACAGAAGTCTGTCTTCGGCTCTCTCGTACTCTCCTCCACGGCCGACCTTTCATCCTCAAGTATCTTCTTCCCGGTGAGGACTTTGACGGTCTCATTTCAATAATCCACGACGAAGACCTCCAGCTGATGATCCAAGAGTATGATCGTGTAACTGCGGCCTCGCCTCTCATCAAACCTTTGCGTCTGAGGCTGTTCTTGTTCCGTTTTGAGCCAGAGATCACTGCTATTTCAATCCACGACGCCGATCAAGAGTTCATGGACGCTAGCCATGACTACTCTGGGATTCTCTCTCGGCTCGGGTCAGATGCTTCCGCCGTTGATTGCTCAGCGAAACCTGACGGGTTTCCCAAGAATGACTCTGGCACTGATTTGGAGGCTTTGGCTGTGAATCACAACAATAAACAGATGAAGAGTTTGGACGACGTTAATACGGTATCGGACTTACTTGTGGCGGACACATCGCCTTCTGGGTCTCTTTCCTCGTCGCCTTCCATATTCAGTCTGCCTCCACTTGGAGTCGATGATAGTGGCGGCCGACCGAAGCAAGAAAAGCCCGAGATGGAGGAGCTGTTTGTCCAATTGAACTTTGCTACGAATGTCATGACGAAGCAAGAAGATGGGTGTGCTGCTGCTTCCTCGGCTGCGTTGGCACCACCAGTGATGGTCCCTTCTCCGTTGCAGCTTGTGCATGCAAGAACCAGTGACGCTTTAAGTTTGCTTTCTCCTTATCCAATTGCGAGGTGTGTATATATATCAATTTGCGTGTCTCTTTTATATTGATAGTGGGGCTACTTCTCTTTTTTTTAATCCTCCTCGTGCTTTCTATCACAGTGTTTATTAGGATATTCTAACTTTTCTCTGTCGTATTACGGAAACTGGGGGATAATAACATGAAGGGGTGTATTTGTTTGCATCAACCTGCAGTTATTTGTCAAAGGCTGTTCACTTGCAAGAGCAAGTAAAAGCGGGCCATGCAAATATGAGGAGTGAAATATCTGATACTAGCCCTGCAATCCAAATGGATCAAGTTGAAGAATGCGCATACAGGTTAGGCTCACAAGTGGATCGAAATCATCAAATTGAGCAATTTGTCCATTACGTAGCAATCCCATCCTACTACCCAGTCTATGCAATAACTGTGGCACCTACTCATCCAGATGGGGTATCCTCAGGGCAGCCACGGACAGTAACAGCCCAAAGCGGGCCTCCTTCAACGGTTTACATCAATCCCACTTCAAGTCTTTACACAGCATCAAGTCCTGCAATTCTTCAACCTGCCCAGTTCCGTTGCCCCGTACAGTCTAATATTGCTTTTGCTTCTACCAGTCCTGGCTTTGAATACGATGGTACTGCCACTTTCCAAAAACAAACTAACACTCATTTGCCCCCTCACTACCCATCCATGACCCCACCAAGATCGTCGGATGCTTTCAGGCATAACATTCGGTAGCCCGACTTCTTTAGGCAGTGCTATATGCAAATTTGTTTTACAAGAGGGAGATTCCATATTTATGGTCGGACTTGGCTTTCATTTTTAATGATGGATGGACCTGGTTTATTTATTTTAGGAACCCATCGTATCAGAAAGTACTCACTCAACAACTCGTGTTTATAAACTGGGCATTCCACTTGGCCTATTATTCGTTTGAAAATAAATTTGACGTCGTCATTCTTAAATTCAGATGTAGCTAACCCTGTTCTGGTAAAAAATAACGACAACAAATCGGGTATTTGATGATTATCATCTTTTTCTTTCACCAAAAATCTTTTGAATAAAAAAATAGTCCTCCGTTTTCCTAAACATAAGACCTGTATACAGTGTATGAAAGAGCCTTATATTTAAAATCAGAGGAGTATTATGCTGCAGCGCCGGGCCTTCCTTCCCTTGCCCACACGATATCATGTTTTCTTTAGCAATTTTCTCTTTCTTTTCCAAAGTAAATAGTCTTACCCTGAAATTAAATAATATCGGGTTTCAGAAAAACAGTACTTTGTCCTGTTTTGAGCGCAATCTGAAATAAACAAATTAAAGTATGCATGTTCGTTAATTATTTTGCACGCTATTAAAGAAACAAAAGTTTTTCAGGGCCAAAACACAGACTGAAATCTAGAATCTATGATACAATCTTCGCTGGGCCACCTGATGTTTTGCTTTCTTTTTCTTGTTTGAATCCACGAGGCAAGAGGTTCAATGTAAACAGTCTTCTCGGAACCCTAGACCTCCCTGGTGATGTGAACTTGGCAAAAGATAATGCGGCAAATTAGTTGAATACATAAGGAAAGGCTAGTCCTTGAAATCCATCACAACCCCACTGTATTATTATATGTGTGGCATAAAAAGGAATCTAGCAAAATGCATGTATGCATCGCGCCCAATAAGAAGTAGCTGCGATTTAAGATCTGACGATATAATATACGCACGTGCGCATACAATATTTTGTACGCTGGTTAAGTCGAGCTCGGGATAGGTAGCATTTGAGAGGGTTCGAGGGAATCGAGGCTGAGCCAGCTAATTTGCATTTTTCTGAACGACAAACAAGCAACGACTTAAATTGCATCTATAAGTCAAACTATCTTAAGAAATTCTGGTTGCAAGAGAAATGCTGATTCAAGGGACATTTGTACAGAGAGATAAGGGCGAGCGAGGCACCTGGAAAAATTACAAAAACGATAACGCGCATTCAAATTCAATGCACGCGCCACAATCCCCTGGTTTTCATGTGTAGTTCAGTTTGCTGTCAGCCTCAACCGTCTCCCTCACCAAATTCTTAAAAATCCAAATGGCTTTTTCCCCTTTCGTTCATGACACTATGATGGTTGTTGTCTTGAGCGCCTACCCAGTTCTGCAAGTTCGCAACTTTATCAGTCCACTCACATTTCTATGAGCAGTTCAATCTCTGCGTTAATGGCAACCATCATTTCCCACCCCTCACCCTTTCCCAAGTTCTCGACTTCATCACCATTATCTTCTCCGCCATCTACAGTGCTCGCTATGCATCACAGAAACCTTGCGACCTTCTGCTGCTTATCCTTAAAACAACCTCACAACCAAGCTGCAACCGCCCAGAATGACAATCTTCGTGTGGTCTTCGCTGCCGGCGGCACCGGCGGCCACATATATCCCGCAGTGGCCATTGCAGAGGAGCTCAAAATGACGAATCCCTCTTGCGAAATCCTCTTTATCGGTGCCCCTAATAGCATGGAAAGCATTGCAGTTCCATCTGCCGGGTACAGTTTCGCATCTGTTCCTTCCGTCAGATTTGCTCGCCCTTCGATTGGCCCCCAAAACGTCTTTCTCCCTTGTTACTTGGTCAAATCTTTGGTGGAATGCTCTCGAAAGTTGAGAGACTTTAAACCCCACGTAGTTGTTGGGACTGGCGGGTTTGTTTCTTTTCCAGTATGCCTTGCTGCCAAGCTTAAAGGCATAAAGCTTGTTATCCAAGAACAGAATTCGGTTCCGGTTATAGAGAATTCGATTCTTTCTTTACTTGCTGACGTGATATTTGTTGCCTTTAACTCCACAATTGATAGCTTCCCGAGAAACAAATGTGTGGTATGTGGAAACCCGGTGAGATTGTCGTTGAGGAAACATGGTTCCAAGGCAGCCGCGAGGTCACATTTTTTTCCAGGTTCTGAGAACATAGGAGATTCTAAAGCGAAGGTTTTATTAGTTCTCGGTGGGTCTTTTGGTGCCCATGCTATTAATATTGCAATGCTCAACTTGTGCTCTCAGATGCTGAGAGGAAACAATAGCTTGTACGTCATATGGCAAACGGGCATTGAAGCTTATGATGAAATGGACAGCCTAGTTAAAAGTCATCCACGTTTGTACCTCAAACCGTAAGTGATCTTTCTATTCTATGGATTTCTTTATGCTTATGTATCTGCAATTATCATGCCTTGGTTCCGGCGACGAATGGATATCATGTGAAAGACCTTTCTGAGGTATTCTGCCTTTCCTATTGAAGGTTCATGCATCGTATGGATTTGGCATATGCAGCTGCGGACCTTGTTGTTTCTAGAGCAGGTGCATTAACGTGCTATGAAATCTTGGCCACGGGAAAACCATCTATCCTGGTAGCTCTGATAACCTTTTTTTCCTTTTTGCATTTCTTTATTTTTTCCCGTTTATGCTTGCATTTCACAATGGATTATATAAATAGTTTCATTGGTGAATCAATATTTCAGTTAATTTAAGGTGATAGGTTTGATTCCTTAGGACACACCTAGTTCATCTAAAAGTCTCATAGATGGGTTCAGTTATTGTCATTTGCATCCCTGAGTGCAGGAGATTTGCTAGACTTAGATCCAATGCTGAACAAAAACAGTTTGACCAACAATACTTGAAATTGGCCTACTAGTACAAGATATCAGATAATTGTAATTGAATAAAAAAAGAACTCTACTCAATAGACGTGATATTAAATAATGGTACCAAACTATCCAGCTGTTGCCTTTTCCATATTACTTTTAGTTTCAGACATTAAGTTACAATCTATGTGGTGCTGAACTGAACAGGGCTTTTGTGCTCTTTTTCCTTTCTTATTTTTTTGGCCACTTGTTCCTATGCATTTCAATAATGGCATAAAATAATTATAGTGCAGGCACACAAATAACTTTTCGTTTCTTCAGTCCCCCTGTTTCTTTTTTTCTTTTTTTTTTTTTTTTATATATTTTTTTTGGCTGTTTTAGCTAGCCATTGTGCATCTATTTTGATTCTGTAGATGATCCCATTACTTTCTTTTTTGGTTGGATTTGATGTTTGGACAAAAGAAAATACGGACCTTATTTTCTATTATTGTTTTGTAGATACCATCCCCAAATGTTTCTGAGGGGCATCAGTTCAAAAATGCTTCCTTGATGGCAGAACTAGCTGGGGCATCATTTATAACAGAGGATGAACTCGATTCAAGTACACTCGCAATTGCGATTGAACAGATTTTAAGTATGCTGTCTTCACCGCCCAACTCTTATTTTATTATTTTTTTAATCCTTGGTTTTTAAGTCCTAAAAATATCTATGAAGATGCATTGTAATTGGAATGCTATCAGAGTCTGTTTATTATGGCTTTCACAATTTGAAGGAAGAGTGGAAATTGTTACATAGATAGCTGTATAAAAACTTGAGTCTTAAAGAAAGTAAAATGTTCCCCCTTTTCTACTCTTGTACATTATTTTCATGACTGGTGCGTAAATCTGCAATGCTTGGACAGGTGATGAGAGGAGGATGAAAGGAATGTCTGAAAGGGCTCTGAAGGCTGCAAATCCTAATGCCTCCACTGAGATCGCGAAGCACATTCTCTCTCTTGTAAATCTTCCGACAGAAGAATAAGACACGGCACCAAATTTGACTTTGGGCGTGATTTCCTGCCAAGCGATGAACGCAAGTCCCCAGTTTGTGCACGTGGGACAAGATAATCACTGAAACTACCCGCATAACGACAGCCCTGGTGCTGATCTAGAACTAGACGGCTTAAATTGTTTGGAGTGCTATGAGGCTGAAAAAGAAAGCCGTGCTGGCCTTTTATGGAGAAGACGGTGACACCCAGTTTGAATTACAGAGCTAGAAGGTTTACGCAGGCAGCATCTTTCTTTAGACAGGGATAGTAGTTTGAGGTTATGGTTTTCTGTTTACAGTATTCAGGTTTATTAATTTTGTTTAGGCATGAATATGGCATGACTCTTGCATGTTTTTGGCCCCAGCATGCGTATGTACTTGGAGTGATTCGTCTCCTCCCAAAAGAAAATACGGTTTAGTATGGCTTAAGTGAATATTGCTATGCCGTTCCTATTTGTAAAATCATTCATCACATCAGACATCAGATGATGAAGAACTTTTTTTTATACTCCTTCTGTCATAAATATAAAACCTTTATATACACTATATAAGGGTTTTCTATTTAGGACTGAAGGAGTATAATTAAACACATATGCAAGTGTGAAGGGTACCACTATAACGACTTGTGGTTGACACGAACAGCCAATTCACAAAGGAAATCGGAGACCCCTCTGATGCAGCGGTGCGTGCCATTATTGATTGATTTTACTCCTGAGGAAGTTACCTCACACACACGCAATATTAAATTATTAATTCATCGGTTTCGGTTTAAATCTACTTCTGATCCCCTTTTTTTTCTTTTATTGATGACATTCGAGTCCTTTATTACTTCCGAATCTTTCGTGTCTTTCATCCCTTTGCTTGAGTCGCTCACTCTTAGACAGACGATAATAATGTTATCGCACGGAATTGAGACTCTTCGGGAGTGGCCCGTAAAACCATTTATTATGCTTTCTATATGATAACAACCCCATAAGGCCCAACCCAAAACAAATATAGAGGAATACAGCAACCGCTCCCCTTCTAATTGAACGAACTAAGGAATAAGATAGTTCGATTACCAAACACACCACCAAATGAGCAATTCACAGCTCCCTGAACAAAAATCCTATCATCACCTTACAGGAGTGTCCAATTATGGAAAAGTGCGTTTTCCATGCAAAGGATGGAATGAAAATTGACGGGGAAAAAAAGTAATTCTAGCTTATACTGGAGATGAAATGCTATACAGAGGAAGCAGCCGTCCAAAAGCCCAAAAATTTATTTTAAAAACAAGAAAAATTCAGGACTTGGCCACGGAGTGACGACGAGCAACTTCTTGCTTACACACTGGGCAGCAATTCTTCTGTGCGAGCCATTGCTTTAAACACTGAAAGTGATAGTCGTGTTCACAACTTAGCCTTCCCACCTCATCATCGGCTTCGTATTCTTCCTGTGCACGGCAAGCAATATGGATGAAATATCAAGTCCTTGATGCATTCATAAAAGTAGAGCAATGCGACAAACCATTAAATCAGGAACTTAATTCTAATAATAAGCTCACCTGACAAATGCTGCACCTGTTGCCAAGTTGACGTTTTGATGTCTCATTGAACTTGGAAAGCTTATATTTCCTGATGTAACGTCCTACCTCATCTTCTTTAAGTCCAGTGTTTACATAACCAATTCTTTCACCAAGCTCCAGCAATTGCTGTCGCCCAAAAAAAAACAGATTTTGACATAAGTGGACGGCATATAAATTGCTCAGAGGAAATATCTGACAGATTTAACAGGAAAAGGAAATTCACCTCATAAGACATGTTATCAACATCAAGTCTCCAGTCTCTATAGTGGTCGCGAGAATTCAATCTTCCCCCCATTAGCAGATTTCCTTGTAGCAGCATCATCTTCATTGGCCAGCAGCAACCAAATAATCAAAGACACACAACTCAAGGTTTGATAAGTTATGAACTCAAAAGTATTATGAACAAAATATGACGCAACTATTTATATGTTTCTATCGTAATATCTAATTCATGAATTCCCCTAAACCACCCCTCTTTTCCGGTGCATATTGATCTGCAACGAGGACAGGAAAAGACGCAAAATAATAAGCCTAGACACTTAGTATTAGATCTCCTAATTGTTGGTATTGTTGTCTAAATTTACGAGAAATAGCCCTCAGTCATGGCACAATCTACCCCGCCCTTACGGAGAATCATATTGGATTAAAATCAAAAAACCATTATGTGATGGAAAAGCAGAGTGATCAATGTCCACAGCAATTAAAAAGGAAAAGAATGGAGGAGAGGGAACCAACCCCAGCAAAGTTATGGGAGGGAGGAAGTGGAACATGGCGATAGGATCCAGCAGTCCCAGAAGACCGAGGGCGACCCGTGAATGGCTGACAATATTATGATGACGAAGCTCCGTTAGGCTCCAATACAAGGCAAAATGATAGTATATCAAACAAAATGATTAGGTATATAATGACTGATACGAGAGTGGCTTTATCCACTCCAACTACTAGATTAATTGCACTAATAATCCAGAACCAGTTCTTCCGTATGCGCCTTGATTATGAAATGCGTGCACGCATTAGGTTTCAAGGAGAGGCATGTCTATATATGATCATACAGCCCCAGTAAAAATGAAAAGTCGGTTTTTTAATCATTAGGTGTCTTCTTATAACTAATCAGACGTTCGCACACTTCATAGAAGTTTTAATTAGTCAACTTAATTATAAAATTATGTATATATATATTTTTTAAAAAAAAAACTGACTTTGAAATTGAAAGATCAGGTGTGTGGCCCATACGGAATGATTTTCAATTTTGTCGTCTTTGGGCCTCGGGTGAAAAGCAAAATTAAATAAAAAAGATCAGTCCCTCTCTGTTAGCAAACATCCAAAATCAAGAAAGAGAATCATAGCCGAGTCGAGTGTGAGTGTGATGACTACGTGGGATGAAATTTACCGGTTACAAGCTCAAACAAACAAGATAAAGATAAAAATGAAATCTATACATGAGCAACATATTGAACGAAGGAGAATTACACAATCGGATCGAAAGGAGATTTACTGCTGACTTAATCAAAGATTAAAAAGGAGGAAGATAGGGGAATACGCAGAATACCTCCCTGTGGCTCCCTCTGGTAGGGCCATTCTTCCTGGCGACAACACAATCCGCAGGGGACGCAACATCCGCCGAAAACCCAATTCCAGGGCCACACCAAGCATCTTGAAGATCAGCACAACTAATGGAACCAGGATTTGAACCATCAAGAACGCCTTGACCGCTCATACTGTTGTTGGCACCATTCCTCTTGTGCTTCTTTTTTCTGGCTTTGGTTTGTTGCCAATCAGCCGATGTCCGAATGACCGCCGGCAGCGATACCTGCCGCGAGGCTCCCGCAGTGCATCCGAATCCTCTCAAGGCTGCCGCGGAGAAATTGGTCTTCTTCTTATTGGCGTTAAGGCTGGGTGGTGCGGTTTCACCGGAAGTGTCGTGGGAGGAGGCAGAGAGGATAGAGGAAATGGTGGGTTTGCAGCGAGTGGATTGGCGCAGGGAAGGGGTTTGTTGGTTGGGATCTGTCAGGGAAATGAGATGTGCGAATTGGGTCCTGGGCCTTGGGCATTTGATGTGCTGTGATTCTGAAGCCGCTGTTGCATCAGGCATGGCTTAGAGAATGGGGGTAGAGAGAGAAGTTGAAGACGAAAGGAGGGAACGAATGAGAGTGGTTTAAGTTTTGCAGATAACGCGGGAACACGAGAGATGCGGCATGAAAATACTACGAGTAGTGTGGAATAGGTTGAGTTTGAAATGAATGGGGATGTTGCTTTATCTTTTGGGGTTGTTAGGTGGGGCTCAGCCCTGGCTTGTTGCCGGAATGGTACTCCGTCTCTGTGCAGAAATTGTCAGCTGCACTGAGAGAGAAGTTGTCGAAGAAAAGAAAAGACGGAAATGTATTCGGATCGGACGTAGCAGCGTGAGGCCTGAATGGGGAACAAGAAGCAAACAAGGGCGTCATATTAAAGTAACAGTGAGCGATGTCAGATTTTGGGCCTGGGGGTCCCACCACCACAAAATCATACGGTCAAAGATCATAAGAGCATCGGGATCATACCATGCTTCCCCCAACGGACAGCATAATTTTGCCTCAGGAATGTCTTCCCATTTAATAAAAGCATACAAACACAAAAGCTCCACTCATTCCCGGACCCCTGCTTCCTCTCTTCTCTTGCAACCACCCTTCAGCTTTACCGTTGTGAGGATAAAGAGACGTAAAGACCATGAAAATACGGAAATTATAATATTGACGTTTAAAATGATTTGATTCTCATCAAAATTTTAAAAACTAATTTAGAAGTTACCTAGAGGATGCCAATAGGAGATGTGCGAGCCGTGACAGAGAAGATGCATAGATTTGCAGATACAGTTGCAAGCTTACTACACTCTCCTATGTTATCGCAGAATTAATTGAGATCGTGTAAGGTCTTAATTTTCATCCCAGTCGTTCCTAAATTATCAAAAGACGCCAAAGAGATAACACATCATAATCTAACTCTGGGCTGTGGGCGCCATGTAGTTAGATTTATATTGTATTTCCCCCCCTTTATTTTGATCGGTTAACCACCTTTCTCCTCAGCCGAGCCCTTTTCTCACCTCGTGATTAATCTTGGAGCCTCATTGTACTATTCCATTGCATGATGATTATTTTTGTTCCATGCGTTATCTATCACCCTAGTTGGCACGCGATATCTTATAAAGTGAATTTCCCATTGATTGTTTAAAGCCAAAGACCTTTAGGGGTTAATAACAATAATAATGAAAGCGACATAAGCAGTGGCTGAATGGTAGGAAAGAGGGCTAGCTGGCCAAGATTGTCTGCATACTCAAACATATTATCCGAGCTTTTATCTCGACGCTTAAAAATCTTGGGAGTCAGCAGTAGGGAATTACTAAGATTTGAGTTGATTAACATTATTATAGTGAATTCGGCATGGTTGGGCCACTCCTTCAATCCAGCATCCATCACATTTCACAGGTTCGGTCTATTAATTTCCGTCCACTGTCTTGCCTCAATCCCGGTAAAAAAAAGAAAAAGACGTAGACTTTGCCTCTTTCACCAGACAAAGCATTTTTTTTCCAATACCAATCATACCTCAACAATTAATTAATACTTTTAGGTGTTTCTTAAATACTGTGCAAAGCCAATCTACCAAGCGAACTAAGTAAATATTAAATTCTGGTCTTGTACTCGAATTAGTTTCGTTGCTCATCATCTTTGGGGAACGATTATGTTAAAAACAGCTCGACTCAGCGCGCTATATGATCTTATTATATGGGAATACTATGAATCAGCGCATAGATACGAAGCACGCCCAAGTCGCGGTCCTCAAGTAGTCTAATTTCGGCTCTTCACCGCAGAAACCAGAGAGGCCTTAACAAGAACAATACGGTGACAAAGCATTCCTAACCTGTTCCGGATTTGTTAATTTGGGTTCATAATTCTGTCACTCCAAAGTTTCCTCATAAAATCCTGCCTCCAGTCTCTGCTTTTGCTCTCTTGGTCGTGTGGGAGAAAGAGATACATGTGGAGCTTTGCTTCGCGTTCTGTCAATTCCCAACTTGATTTATCTTTTGCAAATTTTGGAACGCGGAAAGCATATTTGCCTTGTTATGCTGTTATAGATAAGATTCCTTTATGATAAAATAAAGGAAAAGAAGAAACCCCTTTTTTTTTCCCTTGGTAAGAAAAGAAGAAGCTTTAAACTATAATGTTCTTCGCTAAAATTTTGTTATCCAATGAACTGAAAGTAAACTTGCATAAAAAGCTCTCCTAGAAAGATTCCTTTGCAAACTTTCACAGCCACACCACAGAAGCAAAGGTTGCACGTTGTCGTCATCCTCAACAGATATTTCAAGTGCTTCATCCTGTCTGCAGGAATCAACTCCTTGGATGTATCCCATATTGAAAAATGGGAAGCAGACTGGTGCTTGGGGACAAAGAATGTGCAAAATCCTACAATAGAAGGCATGATTGCGGGAACGCAAGGGCCTACAATTTGCTCTCTCCTCAGCAGGAAGGACCCAAATGCAAAGAAAAAATGATTGAATTCCTGTGTAGTTGTTGTTTGCTGTGCGTATGCTGCCCTCTATCTGTTGTATGTTGCATCAAGCTTCCTTGCAAAATCTGTCATCAAGCGTTGCGGCGAGCGTGGTACTGGGTTTGCAGTGGATCAAGACATAGGAGTTCTGCAGACTACTCTTCGTTTTCTGACATTGATTCTGATGTTGCATATGGAAAGGTTAAGTCTGGTGTTTGCGGAGATTGAACAGGCATATCCATTTTCGTATTACTAGTGAGCTGCAGCTCGGTCAAGCTCGATCTGAACCCCGAACAACCCTATTCTTCATGTTTTTGTTTTTCTACATTATTTTGTTAGCAGTCAATTTTTTTTTTTTTTGGGGGGCCTGAATCAGCTGTAAATTCAGAACCACCTTTTTCACAAGGCATGTTAATTAATGCTATGGAATATCGGATATCATATCAGAAATATGCAACCTGCTCATGTAATATGAAAAAGTTCTGGTCTTGGCCTCGGATGATCGTTTGAAAGAAGGCATTTTATTTTTAAGTATAAAAAACTTTTAGACAAAGCCACCTATTGCTCGGTAATCAGATGCAGGTGCAAGTGAGAAATTGAGATTCTTGGCTTTTTAGATGGTTTGTTCGTTTTTCAATTGTAAACTGATTAAGCGCAGTGCTCAAAATTTTATTATATGGGGAAACATAGGCAATAGTTCCGTCACTCGGCATCTTCCTGAGCATGAGAAGCTTACAGCAGAAATATGACCGATCTCTTGCAGGATTTCCACCCAGTCATTTGAAGATGTTAAATCAAAAGGCACGAATATCTCTGCAATTCGTATAAAAAAGGATGCATTCAAGTAAATTTTGTTTTACAAACCCAAAAGAAGAAACGAGGATTTGCGTGTGAGATTTGTGGCAGAACGGAAGAAAGGTCACGGAATCTCATGCCGTGAACTGAACATTATTTTGGCTGTTCAAGCTTGGTTACCAAAAAACGGAAAAGAAGTCTTGCTGAATAATAAAGTCTACACGATAGGACAAGCCAGAGTGACGTGAAGGGGCGGCAAAAGGAAGCTTACTTGAGATCAGAATGTTCAATTACAAGTCTCCAACAATAATTGACTGCAAAACTACATGGTTACAGGGAGAAGAAGGAAAGTAGTCAGCTGTAAAGGGCGCCTTTTTTTTGGGGGGGGGGGGGAGATGTTCATGCACCACATGCAGCGCCGCAGCCGGCGGTACATCCGGCTGCATAAGTTTCTGAATCTGCTGCAGAAGTTTTCTCTTTGGAGGCACCATCTGCACAAGACCAGATTATAGCTGACAACGTGGACAAAGTGACCAAATCTATCAATAGTGTTTTAGTTGCATTGCCAAGAAAACCAAGATTTTTCGCATCCAAATCGGTCACCCCTCTCCATTCCCTAACCATCTCTCCCTCCTTTCTTCCTTTCTTTGTTTTTTCCCCCCTTTTCTGTAGAGATCTCTCCCTCCTTACTTCTTTTCCCTCTAGCCTCGCTCCTTCTGGGGTGAGCAGCCCACATCCCACAGCTATAACTTTATAGACCTCAAGTCAATATTTTTCAACAAAAACATTCTCTCTGCTGTTGAATACCTTTTGGCTTTGATTTTTACTTCTTAATTCCGAGAGAGTTCAGGCTCTTTGAATCATTTGAATTATAATATATTAAAAACGAGTACGTACAGATTATATAGAAATATTCAAGAGGTTAAATAGCAAAAATTCAATCTTTTAGAAGGTTAAACTCCATGTGTTATTATCTTTTCGCTAATGGTAAAAGGAAGAGTTTTGACAACCAAAATCATCGGAGAAAAGATGTGTATGATACTCATGTAAGTAGAGTCTTACTCCATATCTCTCTTCCTGGGCTCCTGTTCCAGAATTGGTGGGAGTATACGGATAATATCTATAAAAGCGCAAGCAATGACTATTGGGAGCTAACGTGACCTGCGGTGTGTCAATTTTTGGTGACAGTGGAATCTCTGGTTCCGTGGACGAATGTGGTGAGACCAGTGAACCATTCTATTGGCATTCATGTTTCAATTGAACCAAAGAAACTAACCCAATTTTGGCAGTTATGGGGAGCCTCCAAGGCTGCTTCTTCCCAACAAAAGATCAAAAGCAGAACAAAACACCGCTGCTGGGGCGGTTCCACTTGCTTTGCAGAAAGCTTGATCACTTGTCGGTCCTTTCTGAAAAATTCTTAAGAATTACTACTTTCGGTCTTAATTATAAGACCTTGTTTGTAAATTATAAATGAGTTTTATAATTAAGACCGGAAGTAGTATCATACTAGAAGACTCTTGTACTCTTGTCGTTCTTGATTAATAAAATGGATTATTTTGTTTTTACTCCATACATGACTTCGATTCCTTTCCTGTTCAGCATCACAGACACAAAGCACGCCTCTAGTTTCCATATCCATATGGATTTTCTTAGTGATCCCCCATTATTGGCTCAGACAGACATGAAGAGCTTTTCTTCTGATCTGAAATCAAATATCTTTCTCATGTCAGGCGTGACGTGTCCACGTCATTCGTCATCAATTACGTGTTATTTATAGTCAATGCAGGTTTACTCATCTTTTCCTCAAAGAAAATATCCAAATCAAATCTACACCTCAGAATTGCATTGGACATTAAAATTGATATTCTGAACATATGCGGGTATATACATAGCAGTGCAGTTGTAGTGTACATTGATCACCGTATTATTCATATTATAACTCCGACACACCGCGGAAGTGACTCAACATTGTGTAGCTAAGTTTATCTGTTTTTCTTCTCCTTCACTGGCCCTCTGGGAATTTTGCTGAGATATTTCTTCTCAAACTTTCTATATTTTCTCCTCAGGTCTAGCATGACATCGCCAACAAGATTGTCAATCTCTTGCTCATATCGTTCATACACAAAAGGCAGCGTTTGCACGCATAGACAACCTTGTATTCATCCAGCGCCAAAGAAAACGAAGAAAAGTTATCGCGTAGTACATTTACTTTTTCAGTATAAAATCATGCACACAGAGAAACCAAACAGGGGACAGGTTGGTACCGATGCAAAGCAGATTGACAAATTTGAAGTAGGTTCCAATCACCGACAAGATATAGAGGGAAACAATGATCTGAAAAATGAAAATTATATGACAAATAAAATCTGGGATTCACTTACTGGTGGAGTTTAAAGAAGGAAAATCGTAGGTAATGGTGATACCAGGAAAAAACGTGGTAGGTCTTTTCCATAAGAAATGTAAAGGAATGTTTGAATAAACTGATTTAATCTTCTGTGGCTGATGGAAGCGAGGTTCTGGAAGAAAGAATCCTGTAAAATAATATCTGGGATCTGGGGACCACTCCTGAAGATGAAATAAATATTAGGCAAAATGGGGCTATAGGAAGAGTTCATTTACATGTAAAGTAAAACAGGTACCATTTTAAGATATCTGCAAGTGTGGACCAAATAAAGAGCAGAAGCATCGTGGTTATGGAAATGTGACAGAGGAGGGTCACAAAATTGTATTCAACAGCCTCAAATAGAAACCATATTGCTGTCACCCCAAGCAAAAGAACACCCGACACATTTTTGTTCCTCCATAATAACACGTCAGCCACTGCAAGTGGAGCTGCCCTTTTATCAGAATACTCAAAACTCCAACGATGATTAATGTGAATGTTTCAAGACTTGTAAACATAAAAATGGTACCTTTTCCTCCTCCAAGAACTTCATGTATAGGCCTCTCATGTTGAAACAGTTTTGCCCGTAATGTGGTACTCTCATTGTCAGAATCATTTGCATTGTGCTCCATGATTTCTCTTGAACCGATGTTGTGGTCTTTTGGTTCTGTCCATATTTATACTATGTACTCTTTCGAAAGAAGAGCGGATTCTTATCCTCTGCTGAATACTAAAGTAAGGAATGACTTGGAGGTTAGCCTGAAGATCGCTTAGCACACCCGCCACCACTCGAGAGCATAATCTTTCTCTGGATTAGTCTTCATTCTTCTGCTATGTGCCAACCATGAAAGTGAACAAAGAACACATTTTTTTCACCCCACGTCCACTAGTGATGGAGCATTTCACTGGTTCTCACACTAGTGATTCTACAAATCCATACATTTGGATTTGGACAGATATTTACTTTATTCATTATTTAAGTACAACCAAACAATATTTTATGAATATATTTTAATTTTAATATCTTAGATAAAATATTTTTTTTTATTTTGTCCATCAAAGAATAAGAATTGACTTCTTCTTTAAGCATCAGCGTATATTTTTTTATTTAATTCTTTATAAATGTAAAAGTTATTAATAACTAGCTTGCTGTCTGTGCAAAACATTGCGTGGGTTTCAAAAATTAAAAATAATTACGTACTCATGAAACTAAATATTTCAAATCATAATACTACTAACAAGTCAAATTAATCAAATTGTCTTCTTACTAAAACTATTTAGCAGGAGAAATAGATGACCCTTCAAGTATAACTTTCAATTTGATAAAAGAAGGTGATTAATTATTGTTTTGCCGATGGAAGAGCTAAAGCAAAAAAAAAAAAAAAGGTGTTTTTTGGCGAGGGATTGAATTAAAAGCATGTAAGCTATTTAACTAGTGCTGGAGCTTTGGGCTTAATTTGAAAGCACAACGATTCCCATCCCGGGACAAGATTAACACAGAAACCCAACTTGACATATTCCCCACTTTGAGAACAGGCCCAGGGAGAATCATCAACCATTGCAACGCATCGTAGGCCTTTCATGACGGACTAATTTCCGTAATCATCTGTGGAAGCGTCGAAGGTTAGAATTTCAACTATTTCCATCAATTCTTGAGCCAAGAAAAGCATAAATGAGAATGAAAGTTGGGTGGAGAGATAACAGACTTAATGCCCTCAAGCAAGGTTTTGGATTTAAGCATCGTAGCTTTAAAATAATATGTCAGAAGAATTCTCTCTCAATTAAGGCCTAACTCAGCCAATACTATCGGATACTGAATGATTTTCCACCTTTAAGAAAGTGTAAAGTGTGAAGGGAATGGTTCATGAGCCCTCTATAGAAGAACTTTGCAGCAAATGAACGGATGGACAGATGCCCAAATAAGAAAGGTGTGCATTGTGCAGTTTTGAGGTTTTGTTGGACAGTCATAATTGCCAAAAGGAAAAAAGAAAGGACCAAAAGTCAACATTTCTCTGACGATTGCTGCAAATTGCAAGTACTTGTAGAATCTTCATTCTTCCCCATTTTTCTGAAAGACAAGAGAACCCTCTGTAGCATCAATTACTAACTATTTACATTAATTCACTTTTTGCAGACTGACTGAGAACTTAGAGCCATGCTCTCTTGATTATTACTTTGCTCTCTCTAGTCTCTGCACACCTTCTGCACATTTCATCAACATCAGAAACAAGATGCCATTACTATCTCCGAAACTAACAATAAAGAGAAAACTGGACAAATAAAAAATGAAAAGAGAAAAGAGATGAATGCTGTGAAAAAGAAAAGTTGAGGCGCTTGACTGGGCTAATGCAGATTGATATGTGAGCTGATGATTGTGCAGCACGGTCCAGGACAAAATGGACTAATGTGAGCAATGATAAGTCATCAATGATCAAGTGAGCATGAAGATTCAAAAGTAGGAGGTACCATTATATCAAGGTCCCACAGCTGCAGCTGCATGCATGATGACGACCACTTTAAATTTGACTCAGAATAAGACCAATTTAATGCAGTAAAAAAGAATGATGATGCATGTGAATTCACGCTGATTCTATCTCTCTTTTACTTTTATCAAATCAATTATTGTACAAGTGGATGATCGTCGTTGCTGTTTGACGGGCTTAAAGCATAGTACCCTCTGTTTTCAACTAAATTATGATATGTCCTAGCTACGCGTTTCTAGATATCAAAATTAAGAAAATTGAGAACTAAACAAAATTGGATTGCATACAGCATAGCTATGCTCAAGCATGTTCTTGCTTTTCCATCATCAGAGGAAGAAAGGAAAATAAAAGAAAAAAGGAAGAGAAAACTTTTCCTCTGTTAAGTGGTGTTGGATTTGCCTTGTCTTCCTCTGAGACAAGAGGTCAATTGATAAATGCTGCAAATCTGAACAAAAATTAAACTTTCAAAGATGAGGCGCCGCATTGGATGCGAGAAAGTCGCCACTTTTGTAGTTCTCCTTTAGATAAAAATTTCAGATTCGGAATTTCAAATCTATGCGTCCTTCTTTTTTCTGAAGGAATCTTGAAGTGATAAAATGAAAGCATTTTTACCACACTACTGTGTTGGAGCTCTGAAACATGCCTTGATACGAAAAATCGGTCTTAATTAGTTTTCTTCTTAGAAATAATTTGACATGGCTAATCACACAATGTTCTCCATTTACCTAAGCCTCAAATTTTATAGTGCTGCATCATGACGATTGATGATTATAAGATGGATCTCACAGATCACAAGTTTCTTAGTGCCTGTTGTCTTGATCATTAAGAGAGCATGTGGTGTTATAATAAGAACCATAATTGGAGGAAGTGAACATATATATCACATCAAAATCGCCGAAAGGCACCACCATAGTCCAAAGAGTGGTGGGTGGGTCATCATCCTTGGATGCACAGGAACAGAGAAAACAATAGGGAAAATAAATGGGAAAAGTTTTCTTTATCTCTTGTGCTTGATTATTCATGTCATCACGCTGTTGATAAAGATGGGAGAAACGGGCCCATTAGCAAGACCAGCAAATGATTTTTTTTTTTTCCTGTTTCAAATCATCTCTTTAGCTCCTTAATTCAGAATATACCTTAGTTCCAAGACCACAAGATTCAGAATCCTGTGCTAGAAATAAGTTCTGATGGTTAAATATGCCTTCAAACATTGCTAGCTGGAGAAGATCCAAACAAAGTCGGAGAAGAACGACTACATTATTATTTTGCGCTTCTTGCTACTGATATCTCGTTTTCTGATTCGGTTGGAAAGTTGATTTTCCTTTGTTTTCCCCGCCTTTTGAAAAAACTACGGGGAAAGAATTGAAATCATTGCAGCAAATGAGACATATTAGGCTTCGGCAATTCTAACTGATCTCTTACAATTGGTTTGACCTTCAGGCTCCACCGAAAGGTGAGATATCATGCACTTAGATACTGGCTTTTGAGGCACTAATACTTCTGAAAATCTCTAAAAATAAAAATTAGATCTCATAAAACTCAAGACTCAAGGCCACATTGCTCACAACTCTATCAACAGGGAGGTTTCTAGTAGATCTTACACACTTAAATATATTGGTCGTGACACCTTTTTAAATCCCTCACACCTCTAAACTTGAAACTGAGTTATAATCAATGTAGTAGAAGGACAAAGAAAAAACTCAGAACTTTTGGACATCACATCTAAACAATTTTCTGTTCATTGGTTCAATAAAATGTAGCTTTAAGCGCTAAACTTCTGGACTCAGGTAATTTCGCCCCTTTTTTAAGAAGTGGGCCAAATCTCTATTTGTTTCCCTTCTGATGCTTCCATCCCACGTTTTCAAATCATTTCTATATATTAATTTCCTTATAAATGACATCAGATAGAATTGCTTTACTTTCACCCCTTCTTCACCTTTATTTAATGTTGCGTGTGAAAAAACATTATTTTCACGCAAGTTGGCACTATAAATAGAGGAGGCTGAATCTAAAATACATCAGCAAAGAAGCAGCTCATCATCCCCCTCATTATCACGCTCAAATCTTAAAAGTCTTAGAGATCCTTGGCTGAAAATGAAAGCATCAAGCATTGCTCTGTGCACTTTGGTGCTGCTTCTTGTGGCTGAAGTCCAAGTGTCAATGGCAGTGACATGCAGCCCAGTACAGCTGAGCGCATGTGTGAGTGCAATAACATCTTCGACTCCTCCATCTCAACTATGCTGCTCCAAGATCAAGGAACAGAAACCTTGCCTCTGCCAATATGTCAAGAACCCTAACCTCAAGAAGTTTGTTGACTCTCCTAATGCAAGGAAAGTTGCTAGCACTTGTGGGACCCCCTTCCCAAGCTGCTAAAACTCATAAAGAGACGAGACTTTCTCTGCCTCCATACATTATACGTCTCGATGATGCATAGTGTTATGGCCAGAGATCTGAAGAAGAAGAAGATAATATCATGTTCTGTTTGGTCTGTCATATATACGTTTCGTTAGAAGTAAAACCACTAGTTGTAACCGATGTGATGCTGTGGTCCTGTGTCGTTGCATTTGGTTCCTTGGCGTGGTCTCATCTTACATTACTTGTTGCAAAGTGCTGTATTGTATTTATAATTTAAAGCAGTGTCACGCTATAACTATTTCCTATCATCCTGTCTCTATCTCTCACTTTTTAAGTTTAACCAGAAGCATTCAGAAGCGTTAAAGTTGAGTCACAGCTTTCCAATTCTCGAACTTACAGAAGCGGCCGTCAAGGTTCTGGATGAATACCTAAAACAGAGAACGAGAAATCTGATTTAGATTATCCCAGAATGCAAGTAGATATTGTCAGAATATACAAAGCCCAGGCCATGAAGTGAATAGTAGTCGTTAGAATAGACATGTTACTGGTAATGTTTAGTGTAGTCCACCATGTCAGTAAAAAACAGGCTGTCGTATGTTTTGTTCGAAACGATTATGCACACGACTTAGTTCTCAGCTGACTGATTGATCTTCGATTGCCAAAGTTTTATTTATTGCCCCCGTTCTTCTCTGCCCATCAATATGCTATCGGAGTCGGAGCATCTCTGTAGCGAGGTTGCTTCGATCCAGAGCCTTGTAAGCATGATTTCGCTGATCTGAAGATGGATCGTAACCGATCTTCAATAATGTCGCAACTCGCAAGCTTCATGAACAGGCCCTACGGATTACGGTTCGAGAAATATAGTCACGCCCTCCACGGTGAGCAATGCAGCGAGCTTCCCAAAGATCTTCTATAAAGTTGCAGACTTGTTATTATGTGAAAGTTTTTCAGCCTTGAGCGTGATTGATAAAAAAATGTGAATGCTGTTCTCCAGGAGCCTTTGCAAGAAAATCACAGTTTTTCATGCTGTCCTTTTATTGCCGCACCCGTATTGTCCTTGTCGATTAGCGTGCTCTGGCAGCTCTGCTGACTAAGAACAACCAAAGAAAAGCTCTATTTGATTCATTTTCAGAAAACGGTAAAAAAGTTGTGATACTTCTGCCCCTTTTTCCTCTTATATTTGAGGCTCATATGCATTCGACTTCTATTCGGCCTCTCTTACTGTACCCATTTTTTCCCTTTAAAGTGATCAAATATCAGATAGCCACGTAAATCGTTTAAGCCTGGAGCATTTGCATACGAGATTATTTGATTAGTACAATAAATACAACACATCGAAAATAATTAGACATCAATACTACACAATTAAAATAGTCTCGGGGATTGGCAGGAGCAAGATGGAACTCCATAAGAAAGAAGCTAATAAAGCGGACCGCATACCAATCCATCGACAACAAGACTGACCCCAAAAAAAAAAATGCTAATCACTAATGTTATGATCTCTCGAGTTCCATAATGTTCTCTCTAAATATCTTCATACTTTTTTATGTCAAATCAAAACATGCAAGAAGAAGACTCTGCAGTGAGAATATTGAGAGAACTAACGTGTAGAGCCCTAAGAGTTGGGCTCTGTAACTGAGATGGAAGGCCCAAATCGAGAGCAGACGCAAGCCCGAGTAAGGCGCAGCCAGCGCGTACGGAAACGAGCAGAGTATGTCATTATAACGAAAAACCAATAATATTCCCAGCAAGTAACGAAACGAGCATAGTATATCAATGTTCACTTTTTTGTGTCTTCACAAGAGAATCATCAGAGCACGTGTTCTGTTGACTTAAATTTTACAAACTATTTGGAACCCAGGACAGAGAACTAGCAGTTTCTCGTACTTTGAATGCCCTTGAGCCTCTCCAAAACTTTAGCCATGGAAGGTCTGCTGTCTCTGTGGCGTTGCAAACAGCTACATGCCAAGTCTGCCACTGCACTAATCGTTTGAGTTATCCAGCCGTCTGATTCAAATCCAAGAGCAGGATCTACAAGGCTCCCAAGTTGCCTACCCCGGATTTTATTGACGGCATAATCAGAAAGGCAGGGACGTTCATCCTCCTCACCAAATGCTGGCAGGGATGATATCAGCTCCATCAGCACAACTCCATAGCTATATACATCACTCTTATCAGAAAGATGGCAATGCTCATAATACTCCGGATCGATATAACCTGGAGTCCCATCAGGATCAGTTGTGATATGGGTAACACCTAGTGGGAAGAGGTGTGACAATCCATAGTCTGCCACCTTAGCATTGAAACTGTGGTCAAGCAGAATATTGCTGGTTTTCACATCACGATGTATTATATTACGAGAATGGAGATAAGCCAATGCACTTGCTGTTTGTATTGCAATATTTAATCGGGTATGCCATGGGAGTACACCGGGTTGCAGCAGGGAATCAAGAAGGCACTTGGTAAGATTTCCTTTCGGCACGTATTCTTGCACTAGAAGTAGTTCACTGCTTTGAGAAGAGACGCAGCCATGCAGTTGGACAAGGTTTTCATGGCTCACAGAAGTTAACAATGAGACTTCACTCATGAAATTTTCAACTTTCTCGCTGTGAAGCTGCTCATCATGTAACCTCAGGGCCTTTAACTTGTCTTCGTGTAACTGCTTTATTGCAACAGAATGCCCGTCTTTAAGAATTCCTGTAAAATTGAGGAAAGAAGATTGAGCTAAGTGTAACCTTGTACAATCCATTTCTCTATTTCGTTAAGTTGCCATAGAGAAGAAGCCAGACTATCAACAGCTTAGAACAGACAAATTGTCACATGACTTTCACAGCATGCATAATGTTTTACTAAAGAGGCATAATTAAGAATTGAAAATATCGAAATATTATCCCCACGATCAGCTCATGACAAAATACGATGTCTCAGGCTTCCTATTTGAAAGTTTTAATTGAATCACTTCTATTGGAACTCGTACACAACCAAACTCCGAAATTCTAGTAACCGAACCCTAAATCTTTCAGTTTTGATGTTTCGTACACTTCGTTAAGCCTGCATAGTCACGAAAAGTATTTCTATAGTATAAATCAAAATCTTTTTTCCCCTGTCATGCACAAAATCCCGTTTTGTGATGTACCGATTCATTTAACTGGACAATTTCTGAAATTATAGAAATCACGAATTAAACTTCCCCTCTATAGTTCGTCTTACCATCACTAAAAGAAACCTTGTCCCAATATAGCTGCTCTTTCATTATCCATTATCCAGACAGTATTTCATTTTATTTCCAGCAATCGGTCCTCCACTAATCTGGTCGCACTTTATAATTAGAGGCACATGGCCTTTCTAAATATCTGTTCTCTAAATTTAAGTTCAACATTTTTCTCATCACTTTACCAGCTCTACGCCCTACAACAAACCTCATGAAGAATTGATAACAATCCAATCTGTGCATTTCACCTAATTAAGGTACCAGAGCTTCATATTCTGCAATTATCCTCCAAATCCAAATCCAAATCCACAATCATTGAAGCTCTTAAGTTCACAAAAAGAAAAGAAGATATTAAAAGAAGGAGGTTTCATGCATTTACCGCAAATAGACTCAACACTGTGAGATGAAGAAAGAAACATGATCGATGATGCTAAAAGGTTAAGAGTATTATTAGGCTGTCCAAGTGTGGGTGATGTTCAATTTCACGTGGAAAATCCCGTATTCCATAAAATTAAGTTTAATAATTAATATATAATGAAGTGAAAGTACTTCGCCTTAAAAACTATGGTGGCACGCTCTCTTCATTGCTCATTTGTAACCTCCCCTGTTTTCGAGGCTCACTCCCACTTTCTCAACAAGTACAATTTTAATTAAACCAGATTTCAATCATTACATCATTCACGAATATATGACTCCAGTCCCAACCCTAGCATGCATGAATATGTGAATCAAGTCCAAACCCTGCGTAAATATCAGAAATATTGAAAATTCAGATCCAGGTGATTTTCTTACCAAGGTATACTGTCCCATGTTTTCCTCTCCCAAGCTCTCTGTCGGAGTCAAAATTGTTGGCTGCTATTTTAAGTTCAGAATACTTTAATATTTTACTTCTGTTGCCGTGCCTGCTCAGTACCTCAGATCGAACATGTCTGATCGGTGCTCCAGAAACCACGGGCACCGATTGGACGGGGCTGCAACGGTCGCTTGTTACCTCGACATTCACACTCACTATTTGACTACCCTCTACATCACTTTTCTTAGGAGTCGAAGCATCGTTTTTACCTACACTGGGGACAAAACACTGAGATATAAAGGGGAAGATCGGCATTGGCACCGCTTATGACCAGCACCCCAGCATTTAGCCCGACAATAAATAGACCTGAAGGGATTGTGTTCTATTTGCTCTCAGTTAGTGGGCAGATGAAGAAATCCATCACAAACTCAAATTCACATAAAAATGTTTTTCCTCGGTCCTTACAAAGAAACCCAAGTCATAAACAGGCAAGAAATAGTTGAATCGATACCGACGTTAAGTTAAAGAGTCCCACCTCAGAAACTAGGCGATGTAAGTATTCAATAACACTCCTGTTCTCGTTCTACGAATCAGAAACTCTGATGATCAAGAAGGAACTCTGCAAGAACAAGCGAGAGGAGTTGCAAATCCGAAGCCCAATAATCTGGCTCTGCGTTTAGCAGAAGTTGATGATATTTCTCTTGTGGTATAGGGAGATGACGATATTTGTAAGAGCATTCTCAACCCTTTTTTTCCCCCTTTTGAAGCTAAACACGCCCTTAATGGTGCCGAAACGCGGGAAGGAAGGAAGGAAGAAGCCGCACTGGAAGTGGGAGGAAAAAGGAGCTGAAACCGAAGTCAATCATTAACTAATATCCGGAAAAAAATGTACGCAATTCTACTTCTCCCATATTTTTATCTATTTTTAAAAATTATTTATGCATCCAGTAGATAATTTCTGCAAATAGTATTTAAAAATTTTCATTGTTGAAAATTAAAAGAATAAACATATATTTCTTACAACATAAAACATAAGAAATTATGGTTCGTAACTTGTAAATACTTTTTTAGCCGGACATAACTTATAAATAATATTATGAATTGTTGTAAGTTTTATAGTTTATAGTATTAATATATGTGATTTACTTGCTAGTATCAGCCTTAAAAATTTATATAAACTGGGCTTCTTTTTTATACATTGTACATGCGTTTTTACGATGGGTTAACGTGCGTCTAGCACCCCGAACTATTTACCCAGGTGGGTCCAGTGGCCTAAAGTAATTTTGGATGCATCCAGTGTCTTAAACTAATTAAAATGGTGCGTTCATATCCCAGGTTAACAAAAATGTTATGTTTAACTGTTACTTTCCTGACTCAGCTTAAAGTTGACCCCAGATATTCTACATGGCAGACACATAGGCACCCGATGTGTATTATTCTTACTCAAAAGTCAATTTATTTAGAAGAAGAGGAAGGAAATAAATTCAATTTTGAGTAAGAATAATACACATCAAATGTCCATATGTCTGCCATTTAGAATATTTGGAGTCAACTTTACGCTGAGTCAGGAAAGTAACAATTAAACATAACATTTCTGTTAGTCTGGAATATGGACGCACCATTTTAATTAGTTTAGGACACTGGATACACCTAAAATTACTTTAGACCACTGAACGCACCTGGGTAAATAGTTCGGGTGCTAGAGACACCTTGACCTTTTTGTAAATAACTCATGTGATAATAGACTTCATAAAGAATTATGGATGGATGATGAAGGTAGCGTTCGTCCACCGTCCCCCTCGCAAAGCCTGACACCCGAGTGAGGCCCAATAAAGACACGAAGTGGTCCAACAAGGCCCAAATTTTTTCCATCCCATTTTCCCTGCCTTTCTTTCCTTTGCCCATATATATACAGACACCGACATCCGGTGGTTAGATTTCAAATGGGCGTCTTTGAACTATTTGAATAGAGCTTTTGACATTCTGAAAATTCATTTGACGTGCCATGAAAATAAAAGTTGTTTCCGTCACCTTTTTAATACTATGGAAGTTCCTTTGAGATCAAGATAAAAGTCGTTTTCGGAGGCAAGAAAAAAGAAAAAAAAGATAAAAGTCATTTTCATAAAAGCCAATCAAATAGCTTTTGCATTCATAGAGAGCGCATTGGATAGTTGATGCAGTAAATTAAGATTCTCAAATTTTTAGGTTGCTCTCTTCTTTCTCATAAAACGACGAAAGAATATGCCCCAGGCCACTTTATTTTGTTCCATACATTATTAATTATTTTGAGCATGATTGGCAATTTATTACTTATTTTAAATAAAAATATATGTCCAATTTTTTTTAGAAAAATAACAAAAAAAGACCGCCAAAATAATAACATTAGTATGGGTTTTAACAACAATTTTATAAACAAGTTCCTGTGTGTAATTTTTTTAGTTTAGAATTTTTTTTTGCAATTTTCCCAATTTTTTATGAATGCGGAAATATATATATACTTTTTTATTTACATATATGTTCAGATATTTTGTTTGTATATAATTATTATTGAATTAAGTTGTAATTTGACCCTGATCTTATTTTTAAGGTGTAATTTTGCTTCTAATCTTATTTTTCATGCACAATTTTGCCTTTCATTTTTTTTAAAAGTGCAACTCTAATCTTTAGGTGTAATTTTGACCCTGAAAAAATAGATTAATGTCAAAATTATACCACTAAAAGGATGAGGTGCAAGATTACACCCTAACCTGTTATTATTCATCATATCAAATTTTATATTATTTATATATTTTTTCAACAAATCAAGTCTTATATAATAAAGATTACAAGTCTTCAAACTCATTTTTTTAAGTAATTACAGGTTTAAAAGTACTTTATATTATATAGGAAAAATCCCACCAAAAGAAGTTTCAATAAGTTTAGTATTATTATCAAACTTGATTTGGAATTTAATAATTTTAAACTTTCTTTTGTGGAATTCTCCCTATTATATACTATTTAAAAAATTTTGTAAAAAAAATCCAAATATAAATGAATTTTTTATAACTGAAATTTTGTTGGTGTGAAAATCACACACTTCTTTTGGGGGGTCAACAAACCCACACTTCGAAGACGTGGAAGCTGATGTGGCTCAAACTTTCTGCTTCATCATGCACTCCACTCTTTTTTTTTTTTTTTCATGATTACATATTTTCTACGTAAGATTTAGCACCACCAGGCCATAAAATATATATATATATATATATATATATATATAAGATTTATCACCATCTATCAACAAATCTCTTCCCTGAACCTCAATAAACGTGTGCCAAAATTTCGTTTCTCTCTCTTGTTATCCTTTTTCAACTAACTTTTTGGGCTAGGGAAGAACCATCAGTCTTTTCCTCCGTTATAGGTATGTTTGTTCGTCTGTTCGCACCCATAGAGGAGAAGCTCCGTGGTCCAACACTTCTACTTTCTTTCACCCAACCGCAATTTCATAATCATGATGCTAATTAATATTCCGCAGAACTCATTCCTACTTCAACTTTATTCTCACACCAAAATATTCCATAAAATAAATGGGACTTTAGTCTTCTATTATAAATTTTGTGGACATGACGTTTAAATTTAAACACATAAAAGTAAAGAAATAAGTAGCAGTGGACGTGAAAAGCAGGAAAGGATGCGGAACCTTCCTGTCCTCTCTCAGATTAATTAGCTTTATAATAATAAACGCAGCGGCATAGTCAACACTTAACAGCTCTATCCATCTCTATCCTCCAATCTCTCCCTTGCTCTGTTTCAATGTGCTCCGATATTATATCATATTTTTCTGCCTTCATTGTATCTTTCCCTTCCTCTGTTCCTCTGCATCACCCCAGCCACCTCTTCCCTCCATGGCCATGGACGTCCAATTGCACTCTTATTATGCTTTCTTCCTTCCCTGCTTAATATTTGCCTGCTTCTTCTTCTCAGCAGAATCACACAGGCACGGCAAAGTTACTGCTTGCTCTGCGTGTAATCAAACTTACAATTGTGGAAATATTAGCAACATCGCTTACCCTTTCTGGGGACAGAATCGACTCCCTTGCTGTGGCGGCAGCAGTCAATTCAAGCTCACTTGCCGACATAAGACCACTTTCATCACAGTAGGCCAACAGAATTTCACGGTGGTTTCCATTAACCCAGAGTTTTACACTATGAAACTGGTCCAGACTGCTCTCTCAGTTGCCTGTCCTTGGCATTTCACCAACACTTCCCTGGATCCTTCTCTCTTCCGCTTCGACAACTTGACGATTCAGAACCTGACCGTATTCTACAAGTGCCCTTCTCATGTTTCAAGCCCAAGCAACATCACTTGCCATCCTGGTGAAAAGGTTGCTTTTTTCGCCAAGCAAGACGAGGCGCAGAAACTGCAAAAATTTTCCGGATGCAAGGCTCGTAATGAAATTCTAGTTCAAGGTGAGATTTCCGACGTTGAAGGCCAGGACGGGCTGAACAAATCTTTAAGGAATGGGTTCGTTGTTCAGTATGTTGCCGACTGGGTTCGCTGCTCGGCATGCAATTCTTCGGGAGGAATATGTGGGACTTACGGCCATGATCCTCCTCGATTTGCCTGTCATTGCCGGAACGGAATTCATCCCTATACCTGTCCAAGAGGTATGACTTCCTGCCTTCCTTTGTGTAATTATTATTTCAACCATTTGTTCCCAATACCAAATGAGAAACTCGGACGTGTTTTTAACGAATAAAATACTATAAGCAGTAGGGTGATGAAGAGGAAGAAGAAGCGGTGATCTTCATTCCGATAGGAAAAGCATAGCAATGAATAAGTCTTAACAAAACAGAACAGAGACCGATACCGGAGTTTGTCAGCCGCAGTATTAGGTGCGGATGTTGAAACCTTGGGGGCCGTTGATAATCCTTGTTGGCCCTCAAGGCCTGTGGGAGTAGTAGTTGAGCGTCTGAGACCCGAGAGGCCTGCCATAAAGTTTAAAACAAATTAGAAAAAGGGACAGCTTGAATGCTTGATTGAAGTAAATAGGATTAAAATGTGTTGTAATTTAATGGCATGAAACTAAGCCCCTTGTAACCTAACCTCAAGTCTGTTCTTTTTTTTTTTTAAAAAGAAGAATTATAATAAAATCTAAAAAAAAATACTAACAAGTTCTAATAACAAGTTAGGAGTTGTCATTTTCTATTCTAACACTTATTATTATAAGCCGTTTAAATTATTATTAAAATTTTCTAATAATTATATTTTTTAAAGACTTGATTTTTCTTAAGAAATAATAATAAGAGTTGAGGGCGCCCGGAAAAATCCGCGGATAGCGTCATCAAATGTGTGCTTAGTACATATTCATTAGACCGCAACTTGTGCCTTTATATCTACCGTTGAAGGCGTCAATGGTCTGACGCCAAAGTCACTCCTACTTCGCATTTTGGTTGTTGAAAACTCCTTCCACCTCTCTCTCTTTCTGTGACGTGACTCCCATTCTGTCGTCTCTCACACCAACCAAAAGTTGGGAATTTTCAACCTTGAGAGATTTCCCTGATTCGACGCCACATGCGTTCTTCAAAATTGTCCTCATGGCCTTATCTACTTCGATGCCCACTATTTTGTGTGAGTTTGCTGAGATTTTTAGTTCCGCTCCCCATTCAAATTCGTTGCCCCTGCCTTTGTGATATCATGTACATCCCATTCTGCAATTGTAGACATGCGTCTTTCTAAGAATATTTAAAATGATCTTCAGAGTATACTGTTTAATTTAAAATCCCAAACTGTGATCTGTGACTGTGACTCCTTTTTTAATTTTTCAAAAACATTAAAAGACTATTATTGTTTTCGGCGACTCTACGTCAACGGAGTAGCCCGATTGCCTGCAAAGTCTTGGACAGTGCCCTTCTTAATGGTCCACCTGCTCTCCATTTCATTTTCCTCCCTCCCTCTCCCTCACACACGGCAGTTTATCCCTTGTCCGCTTTTCCTTCTAACCTCACTCATCAAAGTTACATTCACTTTCTTCCCTGTTGTTTTTTAGTGCCGTTTTCATGCTACTTGCCCAGGCAGCGCAGCCACCTGTCATGTACTGTCTCTTTGACTTTTATATAAGAGCTAGTTAACTAATTTTAATAAATATTAAAAAATTTGTTAAACTAGTTATTTGTAATCAATAGGTGCTGTCCTTTTTAAAATACCCTTACTAATCAAGTACATTAGCTTTAATATTTAATGAAATATTTAATATGTGTAACTATTATAACACTATTTCTGTTCTTAATTATAAAACCTTATTAATAATCTATAAATGAGTTCGAGATAGTACTAGTTAAAAATAAAATAAAATAAATCAAATTAAGATAAAAGTTAATTTAACTGTTATACTTATATCTTATATCAAGTAGTAGCCCTTCTTTAACTCATTCGGTAGGTGCGCCCACAATTCCTGTCGCCTTAACGGTGCAAATGCTCGTCTTCTTGACTGCTGCTTATCTGCATCATGACGTCACCTTTGGTGAGGATGATGGGATCTTCACTCTTGATTGTTACACTGTCAGTTTATTTCTTCTGTGCCACTGCCTGCTTCTCTTTCGAGAAAGTATTACGGGAGCCATTTTACGATACATAGCCATAACCTTTGACTTACCAGAAGACAGTTCCTCAAAAGCTGAGGAAACCAAACTACGATTGGAAGTTAGCCCCCTTGTGATGTTATTTAATCCTTACGCATTGTATTGTCTTCCTCCATTCTTTCCAAATATGGGTTCATACGCATAACGCATACGAAATGATTCAAGTGGAGTGTGGTGGACGGGGGCAACCTTCGAAACATTCTCTCGTTTGTAGCAAGTCATTTCAGGCTGTAGAGCAACGAATCAAGACTCCATAAATTGCTCACATTAGACACACCTATTTTCCTGCCTGGCCTTTGCTCCTCTCTCCTAGCTTATAAGTGCCAATGCTCTAATTACCTTTATTTGCTTAGCTTTTACTGATTACTGTTGCAGGAAGACATTTGAACTGGAAAGGGAAACTCATAGCAGGTGATTTCTCCAATTTCTTGTTAATATTCTTTTCCCCTGTTTTGTTTTGTATGTTCCCTTTCATTGAAGTCTCTTGCTATTTTTCCCGATCGAAACCCAGGTGCTGCTGCTTCTTCGTTCAGCGTGGTAGTTATGAGCATCGTCTTTTATTTCTATCTGCGCCGAAAGAAGAATCGTCATGGCAAATCAGACAAACAATCTCAGAGTCGGACCATATCTTCCGATTCCTCTTTAAAGGGCGCTGAGAAAGGAAGTAAATACTTTGGAGTCCACCTCTTCACATATAGCGAACTTGAAGAGGCCACTAACAACTTTGATTCAGCCAATGAACTTGGAGATGGGGGTTTTGGAACAGTTTATTGTGGTAAGAGTGGACAAACTTTATTCTATACGAGACTTGAGTTCGTACGTAATGTTTCTCAAGTGTTTACTATCATGCTTCTCAATAAACATACACCAACATGCAATAACAATTAGTTGAGGAATTTTTACGAAAAATCATCTAATTGGACAACCTACCTGTTAGTAAAACTGCACATAATCACTGACCAGGAATCATGGTTTGTGGTGTTTCTTGGTTGATCAAGGAAAACTAGGGGATGGTCGTACAGTTGCAGTGAAGAGACTGTATGAAAACAATGACAGGAGAGTTGAGCAGTTCATGAATGAAGTGGAGATCTTAACTCGTCTGCGCCACCAAAACCTCGTCCAACTTTATGGCTGCACTTCTCGCCATAGCCGTGAACTTCTGCTTGTGTATGAATACGTTCCTAATGGAACTGTTGCCGATCATCTTCATGGCGAAAGGGCAAAACCAGCAGACACACTTCCGTGGCATACCAGAATGAACATAGCCATAGAGACTGCAAGCGCATTGGCATATCTTCACGCATCTGACATCATCCATCGTGATATAAAAACCACCAACATCCTTCTCGACAGTCATTTCGTTGTCAAAGTAGCAGATTTTGGACTGTCTCGTCTCTTCCCGAATGATGTTACTCACATTTCAACGGCGCCGCAGGGAACTCCTGGATACGTGGATCCGGAGTACCACCAATGCTACCAGCTTACTGATAAGAGTGATGTGTATAGCTTTGGAGTGGTGCTCATTGAGTTGATATCATCAATGCCTGCTATTGATATCACGAGGCATAGGCATGAGGTCAATTTGGCAATCATGGCTGTTCACAAGATTCAAAACGGGGATTTGCATGAGCTTGTGGACCCAGCTCTTGGGTTTGAAGCAGATCCCAAGGTGAGGAAGATGGTTAATGGAGTGGCAGAGTTGGCTTTCCAGTGCTTGCAGAGTATGAAAGATACGAGGCCTTCCATGGAAGAGGTGGTGGAGAGGTTGAAGGAAATACAGAGTGATGGGGTAGGCAAGACCAAAGAAGAGGCGGCGATGGATATCTCAGCAGATCATGTCATGTTGCTGAGGCATGAAGCGCCTCCACTATCACCTGATTCAAATATGAGGAGCACAGGGACGACTCCAAATGCCAGCGGATAAGTTGAGCTTCCAATGAATCCCCGCCCGTAAAGTAATCAAAGTCATTGCAGAAAAAGCATCAACAGACCGCGAGCTTCGACCCATCATCACTCCAAGATTGAGATGTACATGGAATGATAAAGCGAAAGTGGTGCCTGCCAATGCTCATTTCGAAGCTATGAAGTCCCGTCCTTAAATTTTGTGGAAAACATTGATATTGTATAAACAAATCTTAACGCAGTATCTGTCGCGCTTTCTTGCTTTCGGAGTTTTTCTTTCCCCCGAGGTGGGGTGTTTTTGTATAGGACGCCGAGCGGCCTTGTATAGGTATGGCAACATTGGCGGAAGTGATTAAAGCCAAAAGCGAATGTGCTCATAAAACCTGTATATTAAGAAGAACATAATCATTATTCATACTGGTTCCTCCTTATCTTTCATTCCTTTTCACTACTAGAAACGAAAGAAACAAGATTCATATCAGAACCCGTTTCCCGGCTCCTCGAAGGAGCCATCCTAGTCTTTTTAATTGCTTAAAACCGTGTTGTTGTTATTTAATGCATTTTATTTTAATCAAAAGGCCGTGGGATTGCTTATGAGTATGACGCAGAGATACAATATGGGAGAAAAAGATGCAGAAGGACACGAATATCTTGTGTGGGTGTTATATACTCAGTGGCAGTTGAACATCGGATCGACAAAAATCAGGACTTCAACATCTTTGGTTATCGGCCGCTCTCCGTTCTCGAGCCTGGCGTCCGTTTCTTATGAATACCTCATCTAGTCTTAATGATCACTGGGTCGTTGAAATCAACTGGGCCAGAAAAGGATGAGGCTAGGTCTAGGGTTTGGCTACTATCGCAGCAAGCATACCCATTACTCTGTTCAATCCTGTTAAAGAACGCCCAATTTCTAATGTTTATTTTCGAGAAAAAAAATTTGCAAAGAGGATTGGGTGTTATCCGATGAGTAGGGAAACTCCAAGCCAAAGTTGAAAAATAGGGAAAAATGCATGGACCAGATCGATGAAAGGATGAGATTGCAGCATGCTACAGAACATTGTCTCTGATTGTTGTACATCAAGGGTCTGGTTGGTTAACGGCAAAAAAAAAAAAAAATCAAGGGTCTGGTTGGTTTTTGAGCAATGGGTGTAAACTTTAAAGGGCCTGAAACCGCCCACAAATGAGATTTTGTTAGAGAGGACGCAAGCCCAACCTAGCTAAGTCATACATGAACATTAGTGAATGGAGACAGAGCTCGTTAATGGAATTATGGTGGATCCACTTGTGGCTCATTTATATTGACCGTACAGTAACCGGGGGGGTCTATGATCCTTTCTAAACTAACTCATGTCTTGTACTTGCATGTTTAAAGTAGAAAGGAGTACGCAGCTAATAAATACGATAAGTTTAGGACCACTTGGGAGATCCATGGATGACAGAGCCTGAAGGCGTCATATTATCAACTTCTGATTGTGACTCCGAGAAGCTGAAAGGAAAGGTATTGCCCACTACGGTGGGATATGCTGGGTTCGAATTCAACGTCGACCACTCACTGCCTCCAGCTGCCACTCCTCCATAGCTGGCCTCTTGTGCTGATTTATCTCCAAAGAGATCGCAACTCATTGGAAGGTTCTCTGCAATTTGATCCACTGTTTCCCCTATCCATACAAATAAACATATGTACTCGCCAATCAGTACCTTGGGGTGGTATTAGTTCAAAAACAAAGATTGTTCTTAACTTGTTTGAAGAAACGGCATACCTTGAGCTAACAAGGAAACGTTATCGCTCAAAAGCCCTTCAGGCGCTGCTTCCTCCAAGGTATCCCATCGGGCGTATGCTTCTCTTACCAGCTTCTCAACATAGCTCTGTCGATATTCATTCATCACACAAGCATGCGTGTTTAATACATCTCTGAAACTTAATCATTAATTGGGGGCTGTCGGGATTATTTGTATATAGGCATACATACCCTGTTAATGTTGTTGAGGTCTCTTCCATGGAGGACGTGGCCGTTGATCTCAGCTCTGACCAGTTGGCATATGGGATTCAGAAACACCGCAAAGTGAGGCCCACGGTATATGTAGAGCTTGTTCTCCATCTTACAACTCCTCGCATGCTTCAACGTCGCTTCCCACATCTTCTCTGACATCCCTATCCCTAATATCTGATTTTGCAGGACCATATATATCACATATATGTTGTTCTTATTAATTAATCAGTGATCTCATTTTCCAGGGTATCAATAGAGAATTGAGATGAATAATGCGGATGAATTATATAATACCTCTCTGAGTCTGGCAGGGTCGACCACAGACAGCTTGAGAAACTCCTGAACATTGTTAATACCATTTGCGGACAACTTCCTGTGAAATGCCCCATCCTTCCCAATCTTCTCCAGCCGCCACACTTCGTCTTCCAACACTGGAGGATGGTGTTTTTTATACACTACATATACATCCATGTACATGATCAAAGTAAACATCGTTTAGCTATACTACATATATCTATATATAAATCATGCAGTGTGTAATTTCAGCAATATATATTCTTTTTCAAGCCAACAAAAAACATTTTTAGGGTCTCAAAAGGGTAATTCCAGTAATATATATTCCTTTTCTGGCCAACAAAACATTTTTAGGGGCCTCAAAAGGAGTTGAAGAACCTCAAGTAGTAATGAAAAGAGGAATATCGCAAGGGATGGTTTTTATATGTATTCATTTCAGTCCTAATTAAAGATTCACCAGAGTTTATGATACGCACACTACGCACACACCTGAAAATAGCTCATATTCAACCAGATTTTGCAGCTTCGGAGCAAATTAAATTAAGGGTAGTAATATACTTGGGAAAGGTAGCAGCTTAGAGCATAAAAAAGAGCACACGCAATTATATCAATCATAATTATAATCCATTATAATACAATAAATTATGTAAAAACAGTTTGACCTTATTAATTATGCCCTAGAAACCGTTGCCGGCTGATGAGATATACGTACGTAGGACCGACAATATGTCAAACTGATTTTGGGATTATCATATTTCCACTAGACATTGGTTGCATGATTACTAAACCTCTTAATTAGCTGAAAATTATTTCGACCAAATGATCACTTTCAAGCTAATTTCCCTGTCAAGAATCAAGATACACACACACACACATAAAGGGTCGACATAAACAAAACTAGGGATGATAGCCACAATTATTGCTTGTTCCAAAGGGTGAAAGGGATGTGCAAGTGCTTCAATTATAACTATGTATACTTGAAATTTCGAAGCTAATTTTTTTTTAAAAAATCAATCATAGCAGGTTTTTATACAAAAATACTGTACATAAAGAATGCATGAAATCTTGATGCTTGCGGATAGCAGAGGGGGACATGCTCAAAAAAGAAGTGCATGCAAAAGTCGGACATAGCGTGAATTCTATATGCTTAAAAACAAATAAAATGGCGGCCTGGGTAAGAATTGAAAGCTTACATTCGCCTCGATGATCCTTGACGACAAAAGGTTCAGTGAAGCCTTCAAGAACCCTAGGGCCTGGATTGGTCCCAGGAACAACTCTGACAGCCACTCTGAACTTCCTACTCCTGATCCAGCTAGAGTTATCCGTAAACTCAATATCCCCTCCCAGACATGCAATCCCATTTCTCATGGTCATGTTGAGTTCTCCAGCCAGCAAGGGTCGCTTCCCAGCTCTCTCCTTCACTATGTGGTCGCTGAATTCGTTGCTCGTCCATTCCTGCTTATCAGCAGGTGGGAAATCTCCATCCAGAACCACAACTTCAAGCTTCATGGGATAATGCACGCTCGTGGGAACCCTTCGATTGCCGCTTTTGTCTACAAGAACGACCTGGATTGGGTTCCCATTAATGTCTTGTATCCTGCTTCCCGTGAATATGGGGAGACTCAGCTTTTCCTTAAAGCTCAGTTCTAGGTTTGGTGCTTCTTCTGCTGCTTGTATCCTCAGCGATGCAGACCTGGTCATCATAGATCTCGGATACATGCGTCTCATAACTCCCTCCACCTCCTCACTCACCTGTATGTCCAATATTCATATATATATATATATATATATATATATATCGCCATATTAAAAAAGATTGATTATTTCTTTCTCATGATATATACTGCTTTTATGTTTTGTGTGTGTGTGTGTGAGAGAGAGAGAGAGAGACATACCACCCTTCTGAGCAAAGGTTCCAAGCCCGACAGAAGGTTCTGCAAGTTTTTCACCATGACTACTTCTCCTATCACCCTGTCCATTGGCAACATGCGTGGGAGATGAAGCAAGGCAAATTTATACGAAGTCTGTATATGAATAACGAAAGAGCAAGGAGATGAGTTAAAGCAAACGTACGAAGCAAGAGTGGGCCTGACGCGTTGGTGAGGGGGCTCATCTGGGTCTTGATCATCAGAGTCATCAAAGAACCGCTTGGTCGCCATTATTGTTCCAGCAGCGCAGATTTTGAAAGGTCAGGTGGTTGCACTGACGGAGAGATGAAGAGGCAAGGACGCAGGCAGGCGGGCTTCTCTTCAATTTATAAGTCTAGCGATCGGGGTAAGACTGCGGAGAGCTGGCCTCAGTAGGAAAATAACGAACAGTAGTACGAAAGAACTTTCTTGGAATGTCGGGGGAAATAGGCACGCAACTTCAACGATAACAACGATGTGACCTTGAAATTGAATCCTCGTCATATGCTGCAAAGACTTTGACGTCAACAAACACAGTTTTTTTTTTTTTTAAAAAAAGGGCAATATAAAATTTTCAGATAATTACTTGCTCATCATCCTAAATGTATGGAAAATGTAAGCTATCAGTTATATGTTGAAAAATACGTGCAGATTCGCATAGAAAATATAGCAGAATAATGATAAAATATTCGAACTTTTTAGGAGAATTTCTGCATCAAATATATGGGAAATTCTCTCTGATAATGAATAAATGAGAGCTATATAAGTCATGGTATAAAAATCAAACATGAAACCAGTAGCCGCGTCTCATATATATGCATAGTTGAGAAGGGGGTTGATATATAGATTTTCGTGGTAGTTACATAAATGATATGATATGGTATTTGGTAGGGTTATAGTATTTGCGTGGGGAGAGAGCTGTGTGATAGAAGGGACCTGGAAGAGTAGATTCTGGGGTTTGGTCAAATGAAAGTGTGTTTCTGGAAGCATACGATGCGTGCGGTGGCATTCCTTTGTGGCTGACCCTCTCCATCCCATCTCCACCACGGCCTTCCTTATAAATTACAACTACTGCTGCTTTCTACTCTTTCTTTTTGTGATTTTATCTCTTTTTTGCCCCCTTACTATTTACTTCCTTTTGGGTTACACGCAAAAAGGAGGTTTCACTTTCAGCATCCAATTTTTCTTTAAAAAAAAAACATTTGCCAGTAGTGGGGCCAACTTC